AGTGTTTTTATTTGAAACTATTCATAATACTTGACATAAAAATATGATGAAAAAAGTTATCCAAATTCTGAATTTTGTTATACAAAGGTACATGTACATGTACCTTACAATAAACAAATATTAACATTTCTCAAGTGGGGTTAATTCAAGGTATCCCATCTATTCAAGCTCATGTGATTTTTGTCAGCCATTGTGTCTTTGGGCAACCCAATTCCCACTGCTTCAGCCAGTTTAATTAGTTTTTAATAATAAAATCACCTTGTAGCTTTGATATTTAATTATTTCAAGCTTCTGCCACCAGTTATTTTCAGGTTTTAGATTATAGTTTCTTCAGTTTTGTTACGCAAATTGCTTTATCTCACTTGCCTTTTTACCACAAATTGCTTTATTGCTATGATCTCAAAAGAACAAAAATATGCATTCATTGCCCCAGCATATTCCCTCCCCCTCCTTATCTCCAGAAACTGAATATCAGTATAACTTTATGAATCCCAATAGTTTGGTATGTACAGAAAACATATCCCCACATACTACATGTGTATAGCCTGTAGCATACTTGGAGGTTCTTGGAATAAGTAGAGTAAACTTTTAATGTTCCTGTATTAAATCTCTAGATATAGATGTTACTCAGGTGCCTATTTTTCAAAAGAATTTTACCCTGAAAATTGATCAGTTTAGATTAGTTTTTTTTTCAGTTCTTTTGTAAAATAGGCACCTGTTTGTTTGTTCAGAGTTAATATATTTTAGGAGATTTGTTTCACATTTCAGCCTTTGACCAGCACACCAAGGGTTGTGGAGGTTCCAGCCACTCCAGACAAAAGGTACAGACTTAATTATGTTCACATTACAAGTAACTGAGGCATAATTTGTGTAAAATGTGGTCGCAAGGCAAGAGTCACAGCATATTCAATGGTGTGTGAAATGTCCATTGCATTAGAAGAGAGGCTCAACAAACACACTCATGTGTGACTTGTCTAGTGGAATAGAACTGCCTCACCATACACATTGTGAAACAGTTGTCCAATTTCAATGAATCAAATGCATAAATGTAATATGCTTAATTATCTCAGACCACTTGAGTTCTATATTTTATTTTGTTCCTTTTGTGATTTTTATTTTTTTTTCATCCAGGCAAGGAACCCCTGACTCAGGTGTTGAAAGCTCACCAGGTATGTTAATATGCAATCTTCAAGTGTACCAAGAAATATTTGTATATTTTATATAAAAATACAGAACATTCTAGCAACCAATTCAATAAGATAAAGTTTGATGAATATTTTAGAAAGCTGCTTAGATCAATCTCCATACTGCAAAAGCTTATTTTCCCTGCCTTTGTCTTAAATCCCATAGAATCTTTTTGTATAAAATGCATTTGATCACATTATAGTGCTAGATATCCATGCATAGATTTCATGGTATTTTTAATGGGAAAAATTTTATTATATCCTTGCAACTGTTTCCATTTCAGATGTTTTGATACATATGTCATATTATGCTAGTATATATGTATTTTTAAACTCTGTGGTAAAGTGGGATGTTTGGACAATAGATCAGCTGCAGTTTTGCTTATTTTATTCTGTAAAATGTTCTCAAATCAGATCATAAATCATACTCTTCCTGTGACCTTGTTTTAGCAACAATAAGCTGTTAAAGTTCATAGACTGGTGCAATTTAATAACAAATAATTACAATAAAAATTAGAAGAATGCAAAGAATTCAAGTGAAATAAGTAAGGGAAGGAAAAAAAGGCAAAGCAATGGCCAAAATTGGATATTTTCATTATCTCCAAACTTTCACTTTACTACAAAGAGATAAAGGTATTCTTTAAAGGTGATATATTTATATAATATTAATTCATCTTTAATTGACAAAATTTCAGTCCCTCCAGCCAACAGTGTTGCAGATTTTCAGGTGCTCCCTATTGCAGGCCAGCTTGAGGCTTCCCACCCCATACCTAATAATTCACAGGGTTCCCAAACATTGAACCAACATGGTTCCCCTAGTCAATATTGGGAGACGGCGCCACAGTCACAGTCAAAACATTCAAGACAATCCAATGCCAAAACCAAAGATGCTAATAGACCTACTTCTATATCCCAATTGTCCCCTCGTCCAATAATGCCCGGTGAAAAAGACTCCTCACAATCAAATCTCTCTCCCAGACTTAAAAAGTCAGGTTTTCCTATCTTAACCTCTCCAATCGAGGACATGGCCCTCACTGCTGGAATCCCCATCCTAGGTGCTATGCCAAGCAGGCAGAGGTTTAAGGCCCCAGTGCAAATACCGCCCGGTGTGCAGGTACCTAGTTATATACTCAATGCTGTGGTGAAGAGTTACTCTGATGACCAGTTGATCAAGAAACCCCCTGCAGAACCCCCACCCATTGCAGCTGTCCAGAGAAACAATACTTTACCTCCTCCTGAACCCAAACCTCTGATTACCCCTGACCTTCCCCCCAAACATCACATACAGACACCCTTACCCAGTGAACAAGATGCCCCAGAGAGTATACCAGATGAGAGCCCTCAGGCTTCACCCTCTCCTTCTCCACCACCCCCACCTGTGGAAAACACCACCCCACAGATAGAAGCAGAAAATGAAAGTCATGTCGAGACTGAAGATTCTAGTGAGACTGAAAGCAGCATTGACCATGAGCCAGACCCCATTCCGCCACCAGTCTCAGAGGCCTCAGTTCATTCAGAGACCCCAGTTCAGGTTGAAGTTCAGGAAGAAGTGCAGCCAGTTCTGATTGAAGAAAAAGCACCTGAAGAAGAAAAACCTGAAACCATTGTTGACATTATTGCTGCTAAGACTCCTGAACCTGAGGTTCTCAACGTTGAGCCAGAGGAGGAAAATGATAATGATATTGTTCAGGAAATTGTTGAGCCTGTAAAAGTATCACCAACACCTCCACCTCCTGTTCAAGAGAGCCCATTATCAGAGCCAGATCCAACAGTCCAAATGTCTCCAGAGGCCCCAGAAGAAACTGTGCAAAAAGAACCCACACCAGTGATAATTGAAGAAAATAATACAACTGAAAGTGAGGCAGCTCCTTCAGAGCCCTCAGATAATGAAGAACCAGTCCAAGAACCAATACCAACACCACCAATTGAAGTCAGTGATAGTGAGGAACCAGAGGAGATTGTCTCAGAAAAAGAGGCAGAACCAATGGTACCTACACCTGTAACTGAAAAGGAAGAGTCTCCTAAACCTGAGTCACTACCCATTGAGTCTAGCCATGATTCACCTGTAATAGAACCAGAACCAGAACCTGAACCTGAGCAGGTTATTGAAGCAGAGGTGGAGGACGCAGAGGAAGAAGAGCTGGTTGAAGAAGAGAACACAGAAGAGGACAAGGAGGAAGAAGTTCAAGAACAAAGGGAAGACACTCCACCAAAGGAACAGACCCCAGTGCCAGTGGTTGAAGAGACTCCTAAAAGCCCAATAGAAGAAGTCAAGGTAGCAAATGAAATTGTGTCAAGTTCTGAATCAGACTTTGTCCGAGAAGAAGAAGAGTTCAGTGTCTCTGCTGAAGAAGAAGCCGAGGAACAACCTGAAGTCATTGAAGAACCAGTGGAAGATGAACCTGAAATTCAAGAGACACAAGAGGCAGAACAGCAAACAGAATCCATCCCTCCAAAATCTCCCTCTCCTACCCCTCTACCCCAACAGTCCCCAGAACCCTCCCCATCACCCACCCCTACCCCCCAAACACCCTTACTTATCACCCAAGTTCCCATACCTAAGTCAGAGTCACCATCAGAGCCACCTGAGAGTATCAAAAATGACATGGAGCAAGAGAGTGTTAAGTCTGAAAAAGAACCCAGTGTAGTCGATTCAGGCCCTGTAACCCCAGTTCAAGCTCCTTTGGAAAAGTCTACACCTAAAAAGCTTCCACAGAAGGTTGTTCTGCAAAAGGCTCCAAAGCCACCACCACCCAAAGTAGAGCCAAAGCCAAAAGCTGCACCCCCACCTCCCCCACCTGTGGTTGTCCCCAAAAAGGCACCCCCCAAGGCAGAAACACCAAAAGCTTCTCCCCCAGTTTCAACTTCCAAAGCAAAAACACAGGAACCCCCCAAACCAGCACCACCACCACAAGAAATTCCAAAACCTGAACGAACAAAAACAATAGTAAATCCTAAACCAGAAAAACCAGCCCCAAAGCAGCCTGCAAAAGTGGAGAAACCTGAAAGGGAAAAGAAGGAGGCCCCAAAAGCAAAACCTGCCAAAGAAAAACCACCAGTGGTTCAGACCAAAAAGAAAGGTGCAGTAAATGCACTTTTTTGGTGTTGCACTATATATGTACTGTAACATTAGCATGCACTGCACCAAAGAACACGCATGTGCTATTGCACTATATGTGGCAGCACTGCATCAGAAGGTCACTGTAGATGGCAGCATGGCACGTTTTGTATAGTATATGCACAAAAGCATTTTCTTTGTTTCAGTTTAGGCCCATCAGCTAATGCACTCAAGTAGCTAATTAATGCAAAGATATTCTTAGTTTTTGATAGCAATACGTGTAGATATGTAGCAGCACCTAATCATGCACTCACATAGATGGCAGCACCAACCAGTATGAATTTTATGTAGCAGTTCATTTTCAGCTGTAGAACCATGTCTGCTTGGCAGACCTAAAGCACAAACATTTTTATTTTGTTTTATTTTTGAAAAGAGGTTTTCAGGTAATTTAATGCCATTGTCCCCTCATGAAGTCTGAAATATGTACCTGTTTGCCTTATTTTGAAAAGAACAAGTTATCAGTTTGAGTGTATGTGAAAAATACATAATGTTTGATGGTGAATATGATATATGAAGAAAGAATGAATATTTGACTATTTGTGGTATATGGTCAGAGTCACCATAATTGTAATATTGTTAATATTAACAACTTGACTAACAAGTTTGCTCTTTCAATTACTAACCACTTACAGAGCCGCAGACTCACTTGCAGCAAATTATGCGTCTTGGCGTCAAAAACTTTGAATTTGACATAGAAAGTCAGCGCAACCTAGGATACGGTGTACCATCCAATTTCAATTATCACTACAGAAAAACATACAACTGTGCTGTGTGTGGAAAACATTATCAGAAACCCATGGTGTCAATTTTTCCTGATAACAAAACCACCCAATTGCGATACCTCATCCCAAATCGTGAGTCATATATTAAATTAATGTTAGCCCAACAGCAGCACGAGATGGCTAAGAGGAGGGCTTATGAGGAGCAAAGGCAGGGTGTGATATTAGACCAGGGAGGGTATCTGTTGCATACTAACACACCCAAGTACAAGTTGGCACCATCCACTCCAGAGAGTTCTGCTGAAATGCTCAGTAGTCCACTTCAGGAAGGACATAAGCCAGCACAGATACAATATAGTCCAAGGGATACCACATCAAGGCATGCTCCTAATGCAAACCAGGTGAAGAGAAGTAGGGACGTGACTCTGTACAAAAGAAACACACAACCAAGAGCACATATCTTTGGAACCAATAAACCAATGAGCAAAAAGTTGACCATGAATATCCCAGGAGGCAAGGAGGACTTTGAGGACAGTGAGGAGGAGGAAGAGGAACAGGGAGATTGGGAACTTGTTGAGGAGGAGGGGGAGGAAGAACATGAGTTTGATGAAGATCAGTATGGATATGATGAACTTGCTGACAAACTTGGCAGTCTGCCCCCACCCTCTATGTTCTCCACCAATAGGAAGAAAAAGGGAAAGTCATCCAGAGTCCATATACGTCTCTTTGAAAAGGCGGGGCAAAGCAATATTGAGCTTGTATCTGCCAATGATGGACAAACTGTTGCCAAAGTTACCAGAGAAAATCTAATCAACAGCCCTACCAAACAGATGGGAGATTATGACTACAAGGTAATATACACAGATGATGGAAAAGCTGTTCGCCTCAGACGAAAAAGGGACAGCGTACTCTCTGATGTATCTGATGATTCTGCTTTTTCTGATGCAAGCAGTCTGTCTAAAGCTAAAAAGAAGAGGACACATTATGAGAAGAGCAAAAGGACATTCAGGGGCCAAGATCTGAATTTCAGGCTGCCAGAAGGAAGTTTCCAGGATGATGAACAAGATGTGGATGATGGGGTACAAGAAAGGAGGGTAATCAGGAAAGGGCCTTTGAGGAAGGGTCAGTTAGAGGGTGACAGTAATGAGTCAAAAGAAAAAGAAATGATCCGTAGAATGTCTCTAAGCAAAAAGAAACTTGAAGCTTCATTGGGTGATATCAGAGGAGCACTAAGCAGCCTACAATCCTCCTTTGGAAATTTAGAAGTAAAAGGTAAAGATAACGAAGGGAAGAGTACAAATACCCTCATGGATGCAGAACCAAAGAAAAAGGGTAAATCAAAAGTTCCCAAGAAGACTAAACCAGTTCCCCCCAAAGCTACCTCTGTGGCAGAGCTCTTGAAGAAACTTGGTGGAATAGTGCTGCCAGATGATGTAAAGAACAAGCAGCTGATGTTTAATCCTATGGAAGGACTGAAGAAAGAGCTGAAGACAAAGCTCCCAACTGTCATGATGACCAAGGACGAAATACTTGACCTCATGAAGAGATACGGCATGACTGTAAATGAAGCTGCTCTTATGAAGCTTCTCTTTGGTGACACAGTTGAAGAAGACAAAAAAGAAACACAGGATGCTTCAAAGTCACAAAGTAGTCTGATTAAATTCATCATTCCACAGTTTGAGAGAGCTGAGGACACGCATCCAGATTTGGTGTCTTGGAAAGCAATGCTGGAGACTGTAGAAAGGTTGGTGAATGAGACGGAGGTTGATTTGGTCCGCGTGACCAGTATTCATCAGAAGATGAAAGCCCTGATTAAGACCAAGCAGAACATTTCTGAAATTGAGCTGACTGCCATACAGAAAATCATTGACATGCTGGAAGATGTCATAAAGCATCATGAGTTAGAGGAGAAAGAAAGGAAGAGGATTGAGGAAGAGGAAAGACAGAGGAGAGAAGAAGAAGAGAGGAAGAAAAGGGAAGAAGAAGAGAGAGAACGAGCCGAGTTGGACGCTCAGCGTTGGAACCAACCCAGAATGCAACAGCAGGATATGCATCGGCTGCGCCTGCAAAATCAACAGTACGGGATGTCTTTTAGGCCAGGTCTACCCACCAACATAGGTTACGCCAACGAGTTTATGCAGCGCTATATGAATCATGTGCAGGCTCATAAAGAAGAGAAACACGAAGACAAGGAAATGGGATCAACACTTACCTTACCCGGTAGCGATAGTGTAGATAAACTAGGCACAGGATCTAATGCAGATACTAACTCTCTCCTTGGTGGTTCAAGTGGATATTTTAGCTCAAATGAAGTTTTGGATTCCTTGAATTTGGAGCAGCCTCAGAAACCACAGTTAGCTCTGGGAGATTTTAGGACAGGGCAACGTATGTCTGGGTTCAGCTCTGGGAGTTTCTTCCCAGGAGCTGATATTGGTTCCAGCGATGAAGAAGAAGAAGCAAAACAGGAGGAAGAAAATAAAGATCAAGCTCATGATACTGAAGGTCACAAAGATGTGCAGCCTAAGCATTCTCTCCCATTTTTGGACTCTGAAGATACGTTACTATTCAGATGTGTATCGGACACAGCACTTTTCATTCTGCCTGGCCTTGACCTTGGGATAAATTCAACCAATCTGCAGAGGTCAAACTCACTTCCTGCTATCCCACTGACCTTTGAAGAGGCAGATGACCTTGAGGCCTTATCCAAGCAAAGGAAAATTATCAAGAAAGAGAAAGTTGCAAGTAAGATGGCACTGGATGGGAAAATGCATTCAAGTTTTGTTTTCTCTCTGATTACTTTCACATATTTTCATTTTAAAATTTGTTTCTCTGATTATTTTTGTTTCATCCAAATATATATTTTTTCAAAGAATGCTGTGGTATTTTCTTTACTGAGTTTGTATATTGGTTTATATCTTGTAGAAATATTTCTTTCATTTTTTAGAATTTGGCGAATACATAACCACTTTGTGACATGCTACATGTAGAAGGGTAGTGCACTGGTAGTTTGTATATGTACAAATTGTATTATTTAAAGTACAGTGTAGTAATTGTAGCATTAATATCTCTCCTTAAATGATGTTTGAGTTTAATCAGCTGCAAAGCTTCTTCTACTGACAAAAGTACTAATTCTTAAAGTGCTACCAAGTTTACTAAATATGTTCTTAAGTTTTTAAATGGCTTTGTTGTGTGTGAGCCAGTGTCTATCTCTGTAGACCACTAACACCAGTGTTATTTGTCAGATCCAAAGAGGGTACCCAGCAGATCTGTTCAACATGTCCTGGTAGAGCCTGTAGAGACTCCAGAAGGTACCTTGACTGGTTTGAGGTGGTACTGTGTAGGCCTACTACATATTATTTTCCCATTTATTTATTTATTTATTTATTATTTGCTGTGTGTGTGTGGGTGTGTGTGTGGGTGTGTGTGTATGTGAATGTGTGTTTGTTACATTGAAACTGCCTTAATTTATTAGAAAGTTTGAATGCTGTGTATGTGTTCTTGGATGGAGTTGATCACCTTCACTCAGAATGTGTGATGACTGTTTTATTTCATTTATTTTGTTATTGAATTGCCATTGAAATTACAATTATTTCATTTTTATTTTTGTCTTCAGATGGAGTTGGACCTTTTGACTGTTTTTTGTTGCTATGGCTTTATTTGGTATTACATATTATATGGATATGAAAATTGCTTGCTTGAATTGTTGCTATGCTATTATAATTTTATACTTGAATTATTCATCATTGTTTTACATTCATTTTATATATCATTGTGCATTCTTACTTATTTGTTGTCATCATATTTTATTGTTTTTATACATAGTGAAATCCAGTGTGCCCTAATGCATGTATTTTACGAATACCCTGCACCTATAGAAAAATCTGCTTTGCATGGCACCTTTAGTTTTCACAATCCTTGTTTTATTTGCACCATCCTTATTTTATTTGCACCCAGCACCTATAAATGATGACGTGGAGTCAGAGTTAGATTCTGTTGTCGAATCAGAGCCGTACACTTTTCTGATGGAAATGCGTATGGAAGAATCTCCTTCTATTCCATCCCGAGCTTCTGAAACCCCACCGCTAGAGAGGCTACCCCCTCTTCCACCCTCACCATCTCCAACACCAGGTGATGTGTTGTGTCAATTAAGTACAAGACAAGCCCAGTCTTTGCTTTCATCTCCTAATATTAAAGTTTGTTTTTAAAATCATATATGCTAAAAGCTCATTTTGTATTTTAGTTTTGTTTGAATTTTGAAACATTTTCATTAGAAATAGCATTTTGTAAATTAGTTTTAGGGTTTTACATACAGACATTGAAACCAATTTTTAGTCTCTAAATATCACCGTTTTGATTATTAGATATAAATGGGCAAATCTTGTACTTAATTAAATGAAAAGCTTACTAGTATATCACAGAGAGAGTACTTAAGAATCCCACTGCATGACTTTTTAATTCCTCTCTTTGTGATATATCTTGCTGTAGCTTTAGCACTTTTTGCACCCAATTTTACAATCATTATATTTAATGACATTTAAATGCCTTGTTTGAAATTTATTTATGTTTCTTCTATTTTAATTAATCAAATTTACATGAAATTATATTTTATTTACCCCTTAAGTTCAGTTACGAACATTTAATTTATCTATTATTTTTAGTTTCCTTGAAAAGAAAAATATTTTTGTATTAACATCTAGTTTTTGAACCCCTCAACAATAAGTGTTGTCACCAAAGACATTTTAATAACAAGTCAGTGGTCCCTTTTAATTTAATAATATCAACAGATACTAAAATTATGTCTAATTTTACTGTTAAGACAGAAAGATTTATATTTACGATATAAATGTTATGTAGCTTATGTTTATATGTTGACATCCTCATCTTCAGAACCACCAAAGGAGCCCACTCCTCCCCCACCCAAAGAACCTACGCCAGGTAAAACTTCTGTATTCTCAGTCATTGCTGCATTTATTTCACACCAAACTGACTTAATATCTTAAGGATGTAGAATATTTCATTATAGATTTGCCACAATCGGACCTTTTAAAACAGTTCAGTTACCTTCACTACTACATGTATCCACCACACAGCTTATGATCATTATCATCTTTTTGATACATTTCACATTGTTTTTAAGTAATTATTGATCATGTTATTCAAAATGAATTCCCTTTAAGTTTTTATTATTATTATTATTATTGAAATTACTGTAAGATTATTATTATAAGATTATAACTATTCACCCTCTCTTCTATAAAGAACCCCCCAAGGAGCCCACACCCCCACCCCCTCCACCGCCGGTCCAGAAGAAGGTCATTAAGGGGCTGACCAAGGTGGCCAAGCCAGAGCCACCAAAGAAAGAGGTCAAGGTGTACAAGGTGAGCTTTATCACAGAGGAAGTATTGGGTTGGAAATGGTCTTTTGTTTGAAATACTTGCTCCATTTTGGTGTTAACACAAATGAACTACAGGTGAATTTTATTATATGTATTGCTCTAATTTGATGAAACTCACAAAATATAAAATATGAAAAAAGTATTATTGAAATTAGTATATAAGATAAAGAAAAGGGATGATTATTCCCATTGTTCATTGTTGTTTTCAGCACTGAACAGAATGTAGTGGAATTAAAAGCTGACTTTAAAGGGATAATTACTCTTCGTTTCGGCCAAAAAATGAATTTTCCTGCAGTAAACAACAATTTTCCCAGACTTATCAATGGTTAATGAATCCATTTTTACATTCAAAGTTAATCCCTGTTTTTTTTCTAAAAAGTTTTTTGTTAAAATCTCTTAAGAGATCAGTGGAGGTCACGTGGTCGAAGGACAAGCTCAGATATCAGAATAATAGCTATAACTGCCGTTTTTGTGGTAAAACAGAATATATTATATTTCTATGAGTTATTCACAATGTTTTTATTGTGAAATATTGATCTCATATGAAGAGTTATTATCCCTTTAAGGTCTTTAATTTTTTTCACAGGCACCACCTCCACCATTGCCACCACCCAAGAAGAAGCCACCAACCCCGCCGCCCAAAGAGCCAACACCTCCACCCCCTAAAGAACCAACTCCTGTGCCAACCCCCACCCCCACCCCACCACCAAAAGAACCCACCCCTCTTCCCACACCCTCTCCATCTCCCTCACCAGAGATTGTGTTTGAGAAAGATTCTGATGACGAGGACTATGTGAGGGTAGAGGTAATATGTTCTTCATATATAACTATAATGTATTAATGATAAATACATATGGTAATTATTTGATCATTTTCATTGGCGAAAATTATCAAACTTAATAATTTTACAATCACAAAAATGATTTTTCTATAGAACATTTGTTGTGCTTTTAGGGCATAAAATAGAAATAAGGAGTAGCCTTCTTTTAAATTTTGTTGCTATCACCCAGTAGGAATGTACTTAATTTCAGAAGTTTTGATTAAATATACAGTATCTGTAAAGTTCACAGTTTTTCTCCATTGAAAGTATTGAGTGATTACTGCAATTATATAAATAGATCATTTCATCAATTTTTTTAAGGAGGAAGAGGTAGAAATAGAAGGACCCACTCCACCACCTAAATCTCCAACTCCAACACCGCCACCTCCCAAACCAAAGAGGAAGATGCTGTAAGTTTTTGGAAGTGAAGTTGATTTAAAAAAAAAAAATGTTTTTTTTTTTCGAAAGATAGTTTGAATTCTATAATTTGGCAAAAGACTGACCAATATAAACAGGATTTCATAAAAAGCAAATTGAGATATGTTTTTAGGATTTAACATGTTTATATTTTAATATATAAAGAGAGAACATCAATTAAATATAAAGAAATATATCTGCAAACAACATTCACATACAGGTACATTTGATTTTCTTAAGAAATATGAATTTTAAGCACAGGATTGAACAGAAATTTTTCAAAATTTCTTCCAGTCCAAAACGCAAGCCAAGAGTGACTCTAAGGGCTATTGCCAAGGCAACGGCTCCCATGCCGAAGAGTGACCTTCAGGAGATGACAGACCCTCTTGACCTTCTGGCTAAATACTGTATTATACAGTGAGTATAGGATTGTGTTTGGTTGTGATTCTCGTATCTCAACTAATTCAATGTTCCTTAAACCCAGAATCAGGGTTTTCTGTTCTGATGCATTCTTAGAGGGTAAAAAAAATATTATGTGAGTTGATAAATTGTCTTTCACATAATTTTATACTGGAGCTGGCATATATGCACATGTTTTACTGACAACTACCAGTGGATGAACATTTCTGTCACAACAAATGTTATTCAATTTTCAATGAAGAATTCAAGTACATGTGATGTACAAGGTAACGGTATATTGTAGAAATAAGAATGAAATGCTAGTATATAAACAAATATATGATACATGTGGATTTTTTTCATTTCAGTCCCGACAGAATGCCTTTTTACGAACGCATTTTTGCTGAGACAATTGAAGAGCAGTCTGAACGCTATAAAAACATCCCACCTTCAAAATACTCAATGAAATTCAAAGAAAAATATAAGAACCCATTTGACCTTGACCTTGAAGAGGAAGAAGAGCAAGGAAAGCCCAAATCACTACCAAAAGGAACAGGTGGAATTGTCACTCAGATGTCAGCCACTTTAGGAGGCGGGGCTACTGCTGGTGATGATAATAATGCAGCTCTGCCCCCTGTGGCTGAGGGAGTGGCACCCAAGGATATGGATGATGATAAAGACAGTGGGATTTCTCTCCCAAGTGTGGACAAGGTCAAGTTCAGGGACATGGGGTTGTTAAACAGAGCCGGGCAGTACGAGTTCCTCGTGGTGAGTAAAAGACATTTTACTAAATGGAAAACGATATGATATTGAATTGAATAATGATGATAATAGTATTGATAATAAGTTCAATATGATAATAATTATATAAATTAGAATAACAATGAAAATAGCCAAATAAATGTAACTTGCATGTGTAACTCTTAAAATTTGTGTTCTATAATTTCATCTGTATTTAAGTTTCTGGATTTAGGTATTTATTTATTTTGTGGTATTCATGTCCCTTCAGACAGCACATACTCATGCATTAATAGAGCATGTTTATAGTGACTTAATGAAAGTGAAACATTTGAACACATACTAAGTATGTAAGCTTTGTACTTATGCTTTTTACTCACTTATTAATTTCAATAAACATATTTCCACATTCCTGTTGTCATAGGGCCAAAGTGCTGCAGATGTGTTGTCCAAGAAACTGGACTATAGCATGGACAGGATGACACAGAAATACAGGAAGCTGATTGTGAAGAAGCTTACTTTGCAGAGTAAGTAAGACATTTTGTGATTGTAATTTTCCACTTTATTGGGCATCTGTTGCTCACAATAGCGGCGTGTTTGTGTAGATGCGTGTGTGTGTCAAGTATCTGCTTGAACACTCCCAATGGAAGCACAGCTACAGGTGTTACACATGAGATAATAACATCAACAGATATACATGGAGTAAATTAAATCTGTCCTTCTGCTAGTCAGATTTATCTCAATACAAATATGTGGTATAACCATAATGTACAATGTGTAGGTGCTGTATTTAAAAAGGAATTATGCCAGTTTGAAAACAAAACATTATTTTCCTCAGTGCCTCTTAACAGTTTAGTAATTGCTGTTTTGGTAGTGGAAAGAGTGAAAAATTATCAACTTCATCTTAAAAAGAACTGAAATGATTATGTCATTGTTTTGGTTGTGACATTGATGAAATTTGTGTCATCTGCAGGTCAGAAAAAACAGTTCATTTTCAACACAATCAAAGAAGATCTCCCAGACCTCATGAGACCAGATTATGATACCTTTGCCAAGGGAAAAGGGAAAGGAAAGAAGGTAATATTAAACAAATAGATGTAATTATATACTATGATTAGAACTTAAGATATTTTAGAATGTTGAATCAATGCAATCAGAAATGAAAAAGGATGGCTTAATGTCTTGTTTTTCAGGAAAAAAAGATACAATGATCTAGCAAATGAAACCTATTCTGAAATCTGTTATCTTGATATTCAAGTTTAAATTATAATATGGGCTTATCATTGAAAATAACAATGTTGTGTCTTATGTTTATGTAAATTAAAGCTTTTAAACATAAACACTTAATATACAGGGGTATATACATGTATTCAGCAGGAAATAATATGCACCTAATTCCCCTGCCACAATTTGAATGATATATGTTTGTACTTAATTTTGATAAGAAATAAAAAACAACACTTTATTTTCTGAACATTTCAGAAGAATCAAGTGCTGGTCACTGAGATGCCCTCCACTCAGGATGAACAGCAGCCCAAGAAGAAACTGACCGCTGATGAAATTATTGGCAGGCTGGACAGTAAGATGTGGTCAATGGTAGGTGGTTTATATGGACATGACCAAGTAGACTGACCACAAATTATTTTTTAGAATATTTATATTTATATTTTCATTGTTATATGTAATTAACAAAGGTAAGTAGAGTCAGAATTACTTTCAGTATACAGGGAAAAATTAATTGTAATTGAAATGCATGAAATTTACCAAGGAAGAGAAGTTTCTTCCTTAGCGTTGTATTCCTAGGTTAAAGTAGAAAACTGAAAGTTTTTCAGTTTTTGTACAAAAAATTTGAAGCCAGTCTTAGAAAAAACAGTCAACATTTGGCAAAGAAATTGCTTTCTTCTCATCTACCATCATGCTCAACCAACACAATGTGTGCTGTCACACCTAACACAATGGCTCTTTCAGATCTCCAATATGCCAGAGGTAACCAGAACAGATGCTCAATTGTCTATCATAGAGAAGAAGATGGCAGAGCTGGAGGCCAGAATGAACATCACAGATGGTAAGATACGAAAGGAGAAGATTTAAAGCCTTAATGAAAGGGATATTTCAAAATTCTATATGTATCCAAAGTCACTGTTTTTATAGAGAAGCATAAGTGATTGAACATCTAGCGAAATTTTAAGTAGTGATATCTGTCCAAGATGACTGAGTATTGGCATTGACTTTGGGAGACAGGCAGTCTTAATAGCTAAACCTTTCTTTATAAAATACAATTGAATTTCCAAATTTAATTAATTAATTAATTAATTGATTAATAATTATTATTTTTTTATTTTATTTTATTTTATTTTATTTATTTTTTTTTTTTTGTAGAGGAAAAACGAGAAATGGAAATTTACACTAGGGATCTATTTCTGAAGGAGCAAATTGAAAATGAGAGAACGAGAGAATTCAGAAGGAAACAAAGTCCTCTTTACCAACAGATCAATCCAGTGCCTGTGAGTACAACTTTACTTTGGGGGAAAAATTATATGGATACCCTATGCATATTTTAGTTAAATGGAATAAATGGAAGATATGGTACTTAAAAAGAGATGAAAACCTATTTTGTTAATGTTTTGTGATGAAGTTCCCCTTCAGTGTATTATATCTTTAACACCACCATAGATACTGTGGGTACCCATGGTTTTACCAAGAACCAATTTATTATTATTATTATTATTATTATTATTATTATTATTATTATTATTATTATTATACAGGATGTTGAAATCAATGTTGAAGAAGTTGAGGCAGCACTGCAGAGAATTAACAACAATCTATTAACGGACAGAGAGTTCCAGTTTGTCTACCATGTAAGTCAGGTCCAGCCCTGTTATTCTGATAATTATTATTTTTATATTTATTTCATATATGTGTGTGTAAACTTCAAAGGTGAGTATAGATAGCCTAAATACATATAAATGCATAAAACATTTGGTTTAAAGTATGCCCTTATTTGGTGGACACTTATTTTATTAATTGCTGATGTAATACACTTTTTTTACATAATTTGATTTTTTTTATTTCCTACCAGGCCAAATGTGTTACTGTTGTAACAGAGAATAAATATATAGGGTCTTGTGTGTATTGTCAAAGAAATAAAGTTCTGTTTTGGCTCTTGCAGGTTCTGGATCTTCCAGGCAGACACAGGCTAAATCTGAAACTGTTCAGTGCAGTGGCAGCTTTGTCTGAGAAAGTGAAACAACTGGAGTGAGTTTATTTGAAGATTCTATACTTCACATTTTTTAATTTGTTTTTTTATATCTAAATCTTAGAAATCTGTAATGTTATTGATTGTCATATCACTTGAGGTGAAATTAGTTTTCCTTAAAAATTGACAGGGAGTTGAGTTTGATTGTGTGAATTTTTGCAAAGTGTCTGTGCAACATTTATTTTTTTCAGTTACATTTTTTACACCATGACTATTTGGTCTCAAAAATATCTTTTTTTCTGCTGAAATTATCTTTTTCTTCACATAGAGTAAAATCACTGTCTTCTGTTTCAGTCCAATAACAAGAAAGTTGATAAACAAGTTTGACTTTGAGGCTCTTGATATAAAGATGGGCAAGTGCAAGGTAAGGCATTGGAAATGAAGTAGTCAAATTATTTAAATTTATATCAGAAAGTTAGTAAAGCTACAGTCAGACAAACATATTAATCCTGACAGTAAACTGTCTTTGTTTAATAAGTCATGTGTTATTATTATTATTATTATTATTATTATTATTATTATTATTATTATTAATTTCTAATAGTAAGAAACAATACAAAGCAACAGTGAAACTTTTATGTGGTTCTTAAAGAATAATTTTTGTCCAAAGAAATATTCCATTATAATAATAATTATTATTATCATTATATTTTCAGGAGCTGTTCTTCCTCCTAGATAACCAAACAGCTGGCATGCCAGATGGAAGAATAGATGCTGATACCTTGGCAATAGAGCTGGCAGCAGGCGGGATCACCCCAGAACACACTCAATGGGTGAGATGGATTGTGCTCGTTATCTCAACTAACACAGCTGTGGTGTTCATAAATCCATTAATTGATAAATTACTCGACTTATTTATTTACTTATTTATATTTTCCTTAAAAAGAACACTCCTGATTGGTATAAAATCATTATACATTGGATCTGGGATAAGAATTTACTTATTATTCAAATTGTTACAACTGGTTTACTTCTCATTTTTTTAGTGGCTCTTTTTTCTTCTTTATAAATTAAGTAATATTAGGTGGGTGACAAGTTTAGATTGAGTAGTTGCATTTTAAATAATAAAATGATTATTTAATTTTTCCAGGTCGTCAATAAATTTAATCGATACAAAAATGGAATGGTGGAATTTTTGGACTTTTTAATATACTGCCCTCTGTTTATTGAAGTCCACGAGAGGATCATTAAGGATCCACTTAATGTGGCTGTCTGGAGATTAGATGATGACAGGAAAGAGATGGAAGTGAAGAGTTAGCAGTGGATTAGGTCATAGATAAACTGGATTTAATGCAGAGGTGGAAGTGCAAGATGTGACGTACTTATACAAATTAGCACAGAAAATGAAAAAATTAAGACCAGAAAGACTGAGCTTTTTAGCTTACTTCTTCTATTTCACAGTAGAATTAAATTTATTTTTAAAAATCAAATTATTATTTTCCACTCAGCACATATCCCTATCAAGCAGTCAAGGGAAATGCCACATACTGTGAACAATCATGTTATCAATAGCACCTTTCCATTGTCTAATTGGATTCCCCTGGCATGTGATCCAATACCGACATTTGATTTGACATTGTGACCACGTAATAAAAGCTATAATCCGAATCATCTGCAGGCAGATGTTAAGAAACCCTACCAAAGACTATTGTAAAGATTAATTGCCTTGCTTATATTTGTGCATCATTCATATATATATGTATAATAAGTCTGTCCTATGTCAGGTGCAATAGAAGTTAACCACCAAAGAAAATGAACGCGACAATCAATATTATTTTATTAAGATTAACTTTTTTATGCAACTTTTGAAAATCAAGTTAATATCAGCACTAACCAGCATCTGTGCCTGTTATTGATACATATTGAACAACTTGAAATAAATTTTTTACGTGGGTAAAAATAAATGATGCAATAAAGTTCAAAATACAAAGTCATTTAGATCTTGGTTTTTTAGTTTCATTTCATCAAGTTACATTGCAAATCAAATAAAAGTCTATCACACCGAGGGTGCAAAATATGGAAAATAGTAATTCCTAAATAGTGCATATCAGTTATTTAGTGTCTAAATAATAGGAAATGATTCCTAAATGCAACTGCTAAAATCTTTAAAATTTTAAAAAGCTGTATCCAAATATCTGTTTACACACAATTGCTTTTGAAACAAGTAATTGATTGATACACCTCAATAAAAATAAAGTCCAAACATATACAGTATTTTTCATAAATGAAAACCCATCATGCTACTGAAAACTATTTAAAAGCTATTTTTATATTCACTAATTCTGATTTAATTTAAGTTTTGATAATCACAGATATAAAAAGATACACATTTATGTTATATGTCAGTCATGTAATTTAATCAGAGGATAACTGTCTGTGGACAAGGTAATCTTGGAATGGTAACGGAGGCTGTCAAACAAACACACATAATATGTCTTCCGGTAGCCACTTACTGAAAATTAAAAGCAGACAACTATCTTTAATGAGACGATGTCTTAATAATTTTATTGGCAGTGAAAACATAAGCGATCCATTCAGGGAAATATGGTGATTTATTTTAATAATGCTATTACCAATACTAAAAATACTGATCAGATTATTATTTGTAGCCAGTCCTCCAAAAGGGCTTTACTTTGTTATAAAACTATTGAAATATTCATTAAAGAAACAAAATGAATGTGGAATCCAATATATCTTGAACGAAAAAGTGAGGAGTTTAAAAAGGAATAGCAAAAACCATAGTTACCTTGATGGTCTTCTCATGATGCCAAATTCATAATATCATTGGACATTTGGCACAATTGGGACATACTACTGCTACATTGGTAAACATGTTCAGCCTGAAAAAAGATATTTCAAATGCCAAGACTTGCCAGTCATTTCAAGCAAAACAATTTATTACTTATTAGTTTGAAATAATCATCTATAAACTTGTATTATTTTAATTAATGACCATATGTCAATCTATACGATTTCCAATTGACGGGTTGAAGGTGGGTGGTCGGAGGTGAAAAGTGGTTGGGGTGGGGGTGAAAGTGATTTCGCACAAAATCTCGACTCCATTCCTCTATCTTCATCGTGTCAAGATAGACTACAGTGAAGAGGTTAGTGTCAAGTTATCTCTGAAGCTCAGGGTGTCTACCAGTGACAGCAAACAGTAGTTCCAAACTTTGAAGCCTAAGTTCTTATATATTCTTACCATCACCATAATCCTACATGTGTAGGCCTAACTGCCTCTGTTGTTTTCAGGTGAATGGGGGTAAGAGAAACTTCCAGAGTCTGAGACCTAATGGTAATCTATTTTCCTCTTCCAGTGATAGTAAAAATCATTCCCGAAAGAGCTAAATTGCTCCATATTCTCTGTAAATGTCTCTGCTTTTTTAGGGGGGGGGGGGTGGGGTGGATGTACGCAAAATAAAACTACTCCGGATATCATGAATCTACCGTAATAATTCTGATATCCTGAATCTACCTTAATAAAGATAATACTGAGGGAAATGAATATTTTTGCTACATATCTAGTGTTTCTTCACTCGAAAGAAACAAAGATATCATTTGAATGGAAGTATACTTACCACATCTAGGAGAGCTGCAACGTCATCATGTCATATGTCATCATATTATAACATCATAACGTCTGGACTGGCAACGTCAGAGTCTGCAGCAGAAGATATGGCACCGATGTTGTCCTAAAAGAAATAATATTTCATATATTTGATAACAGAACTGTAAAACAAGAGGAACTTTTAATTGTGAACTTTTGTTTTAAAACTTACAAAAGCTTGAGGCATTATCTCGGAATATTGTAATATACAATTCCATTCCACTTACTGAGTAGTATTACTGCTGGGTGTCAAAAACACGCATGGTTGAAATTGTTATTTTCAGGTTTAAATCTCCTGGTAGCTCTGTTACATCATATGCCCAACAGATGAAGAAACTGAATGCATACTTAACACACATATCGAGGCAGGTTTACATAAGACACAGGTAGTTTGTTTAACTGAGTATTTTTAAAATAAACGGATGGTCTTACCTGCACGTCGGTTACCCATATTGAAGTGCCCCGTTGCCATCCAAACAGCTGCATCGCCATCTACCGCTGGGTGTCCCGTGCATGCAAACTGTCAAGTGTGGCACTTGTAGCACAGTAGCTATTCAGAGCAGCATATCCTAAACATTGCACAACTTGTAGTTGGTGCTCAGCCTCGGGTATGTAAGTCATAATCATTCCTCAATACTGACTCTAAAATCATAGCTGTGTGTTTTTCCTCAGACTTGGATCCCATTTAACATGCATATAATCATATACTAATAAAATAGATGTATCATCTCAGAGGAATGTACTAGTACTTGCATAACGTCATGTTGTATATACAAGTCAGCCTCTCTCTTCTATTTATCTATCTTAATTTGTCTCTTGGATAAAAGTATCAAAGAGTCGTATCTCTGCTTCATTTACTACTTTAACGTTTTAACACGGCCTTTCAAGACCAATAGAAAAATTGGTACAAGTATTAAACAATTTCTACCAACGTTTTACTTTTTAACATCATAACAATATAATTTCATAATTAGTGTCATTACAATACTAGTAAATACACAGGCGTACAATCTGTCTCTGGTCAAGTACCTGTATATATAAATATGCCTGTGAAAATCTTTCCTGACCCGATTCCCACACCAGTGGATTCCCAATAATGTAACCGATGGTCTTTTACAAATAAATAAACCTTTTTATACATGTAGTAACTACTAAAAACATATTACTTAAACACTCTGGTGTTGAATAAGTTAAGTTCTCAGTTCATATCCATCCACACACGAGGAGTCATTTTCCTGTCCTCTGCTCCGAAGAGGTGGACGGATTATAGAATATCCACTAACGGTACATACATGTGATAAATATACAATATTATAGCTGCTACCCATGCACAGTTTTCATTCTATGCTACGTAAAAAGTCGCCGCAAAATCTAAAATACTAGCGACTGCTTCTGATTCTTCTCTTCGCAGTAAAAATCTTTACTTTGCATCATCTTGATTTCCCTCACACCTGGTCGTCCACTGAATTGAATAAATACCTTCCTCGTAAAATGTTTTTTCTCTATCAAAATAAGTGTACCACTATTTACACGTGTATATACATAAATACAAGAACATACATACACATATTAAAATAAATATAGTAAAACGCATTTTTCAGGGCTCGCCCGTTTGGGACTGAAAAGAATGTTGCTCACTCTACACATTTTGCTCACCGTGTTTCCAATACAAACATTCACCTTTTGGGATGTCATATTTTCTTACATTATTTACACGCTATTTCCAATTCCTCATTTTTCAATGCATGTAAATATTTTGTGTTTGAAATATATTCATTGCCTGCCTACAAAATAATATGCTGTGTATGACGATGGAAACCTCCCTCACCCCGGTATATTGATTGGACGTGGAATGTACACTGAATTGCACCAGGAGCTGTTTCATGCCTTTAATCAAGAAAAACCGGTATTCACCGGTGATGATAATATCAAACAAGTCTTATTTCACACTATGCCTTGCGTTCTTGTTCGAAAGTCACTTCATATCATGTTCCCTCGGAGACCCTTATCTTTACACCACACGTGTGACTACGTGAATTTCTCGTTTTTTTCATCTGGTACAATTCTATAATATTATCTACACAAAAAGTTAAAGAAATTCCATTGAAGGACATGAAAGTCTTGTCGCCATATCCGCAATTGTATGTTGTGCACTATATCTAAATAGCTAATCAAGATCAAAATTATCCATCTCTCTTTTTTGTTCAGTTGATGTAGAATCAGCTTCTTTCTTCTCGGTTTTGCCGCCTGATTGGTTGCATGGATTTGACCCGAGGTAAAGGTCTTGAAAACTTTTTTTTGTACAGTTTTTAGAGAGGTATCATTTTCAGATCTCTCTATAGCGGCTCGTGCAATTCTTTGCGCCTTTAATTTCGCAGCGACCAATCTTTCCGTCATGACGGTGGCTTCCATCTTCATATCTGCACTCTCTGAGGGCTTCCTGTTAAGGTCAGCAACAGCTTTAAGGCTGCACAGAATGTCTTCAGGATCAAGTACACGGCGACGTATGTCCAGAGCTCGTTGGTTCATCTTAAGGCTCTCCTTAATGTTGCCTATTTCCCTCATTTCTTCATCTATGCTATAAAGTGTATTGGCTTTTCTGAGACTATCACCCAACATTTTGCCCTGTATACTATGTACTCCTTTCAATTGTGCTTTAAGATTTGATAGTACTGAATCAGTTCCAGCTGTACAGATGATCCCGGCTTTGGGCATTCTCCTTTAACGTTACATTCATATGCCGTGTCATCGAAAACTGTCCACTGTCGGTCTTTCGTCGATGCTGCTTCTAATCCCTCATAGATCGAAAACGAGGAAATCACAGGTGGATCACCTGTTATTAGCTCCGGGGGGTCATGGTTGATATCATAATACTGAAAACCTGAAATTTCACCAGTAACCATAGAAACCAACTTTGAATTATCATCCAAAATTGCAATAGATCCACTGTCACCTTTTTGGGCAAAAGGCCCACACGAGGAATCTGGAATGATTAATACCAGGTTTTCATACGTTTCCTTAATTTCATCAGATATATAATATTTGGTACCCATAATTGTTCCCGTCGTCATCCCCGTCGTAGCACCCACTTTAAATACTTTTCTGCGACCAAGCTGTTGTACGTCTTGTGTCATCTCCCTGGCAATCGCCGGTTCCTGCTTCTTTTTGATGCCATTAAACTTAATTATAGACAAATCAACTTTGCTTCCAGGAGGATATCCAGGCTCGATTGACAATATCCGCTCTCCTTTGACGCAACTGCAACTTTCAGACTCTTCAGCTCCTCGCGTATTCTCTGGCCCATCAGTCGCCATGTAAAATTCACTGACACCTTTTGTAACGTGCCAGCATGTCAAAACATAACCATTATCTGGGTCATCTGAGGAACTGGCATATGCCCCGAGAGTACCATATCTTGAATCACCCGCACGATGGATCTTTGATCCTGGGGTAGGAGCAGAGCCGAAGAAAACGAGTTGTGGACGTATGGTTTGGCGGACTATTAGAATTTTGTCTTGAGGAATACTGTATTCCTGCAACATCTCTTTTAGTTCGTCATCAGAAATAGAAGTCTTCGATGCACTCTCATCATACAGATGGACCTGCAGATACTCACCCCACCTTCCAAATGCAACAATACTCTTTGTGCTAAAATTGAGAAATATTGCCATTTGAATTCTGGTTGATCACAGATCAGATAAAGTCAATAATTTGTCTCGCACCTAAATAACAGGGAAAATTATTACATGGTTCCCTATGTAAAGATTATGATTATCTTGTATTAACATGCCATTTAAGGGACCTTTTCCAGACCCTATCGAATTCCCTATCTTGGGGATTCTAGCTACATTGCAATCAACTTAAGTGTCCTAGATTTCTGTCACGCCTACTGAAGCCGCTAAGGGGTAATTAATTATCGTTAAGCAGCTTTAGTAGAGGAGACAGACATCTAAACCACATCGGCTGAAAGCAATTTAGCGAGAAACCCTCGGAGATGGATCAATCATGTGAGATCAATCTAGGTATGGGAACCCAGTCCAATTCAATCTTAATATGATAAATGGCAGAATTTACCTAAATGAATATTCAGAAGAAAAAATCAATTACATATCTTTAATGTACCGTATTGTATTGGTAAAACAAGGACCCAGTACTGCATATTGGGTATTTAGTTAAGATTTATACTTGTAGTTGCGCACATATCCTACGGTACCATGATAATCTTAAGAAATAAAACAAATTCTCTCTCTTTTTCTCTTGCTGCTTGTTATTTTTATATTACCTCTTCATTCTTTCTATAAGCCCTTTGGTTAAATGGATTTCACTCTTGTTTTCTGGGCAATCTCCCGGCAAATGTGCACTGAAACAATTATTGAGACGAAGCAAAATTATCTTCGTTTTGGATTTTATATTAGGTTAACAGTTATAATGGTAGCAATACTTCATCCTTAGAGCCGTTTTTGATGATTATTTTTCTTGCACCTCAATGCTGATCATATCAATTTCATGGTTCAGAAAATGTTTGCAAATTATTGACAAAAAGTTAATTTTCATTTCATTATTCCCAATTGATCCATAACGACATAAACTTAAACCCTTCTTGGTCTCTCTCTGTATGCTCTTTACCTTTTCACCTCTTCTGAATGGTCCTCCATTTCAGCTTTGGGAAAGCCAGGGTCTGATACTTCTTTACCTATGCTGTGAATTGTGGTGGCTGTACTGGGACTATCGCCCAACACTCGTTTCTTTACATGAAGTGCTCTGTTGTACGTACTTAGGGCATCTTTGTGGTTTCCCTGTGCTGACATGGCACGTGCCAGTTCACGCATAGAAACTAACGTTTCCTCGTAGGTTTCTCCCAGTATCTTCTCCCTTATAGCCACAGCTTTCCTGAGGGAACGCACTGCACCGTCTGCATCACCCAGTTTCAACAATTCCGTGCCAATGTCATGAAGTGTATAGGCTGCTCCGATACTTTCACCCGGCAATTTCTCCTGCATACAAAGTAATCTTTGGTATGCACTGAGGGCATCTGTGTGTTGGCCTTTGCCTCCTTTGCCTCCTGATGGTTTGCCTGGATTTGACCCGAAGACAAGGTCTTCCAACTGTCTTTGTGCAGCTTTTAGAGAGGTTTCATTTTCAGATCCCTCTATAGCGGCTCGTTCAATATTTTGGGCCTCTAATTTCACAGCTACCAATCTTTCAGTCATGGCGGTGGCTTCCATCTCCATATCTGCACTCTCCGAGGGTTTTCCGTTGAGGTCCAAGAGATCAGCAACAGCTTCAAGGCTGCACAGAGTGTCTTCGTGGTCAGCAAGTACAGAGCGTTGTATATCCAGAGCTCGTTGGTGCATCTTAAGGCTCTCCTTAATATCACCTATTAGCTTCATTTCCTGGCCCACGTTGAACATCAGAAAAGCTGTTCTGGGGCTTTTACCTGACAGTTGTTCCTCCATACGGAGAGCTCTCTGCAATGTACTAAGGGCTTCTGTGTGTTCCCCTTGTTCTGCTAAGGCAAATCCCAGAAAAGCTATCGTGGCTACTGCCTGCTCGTGGGTTTTTCCCAATGTCTCATATATAGTCATCGCTTCCCTGAGGGCGCTGACTGCGCCGTCTTCATCACTCAGTAGGTACATTTCTCTACCCATGTTATAAAGTGCATTGGCTTTACTGGGACTATCACCCAACATTTTGCCCTGTAAACTATGTACTCTCTTAAGTATGCTGAGGGCATCTGCGTGGTTACCCCTTCTTGACAGGGCGGCTGCAAGATTATTCATAGAAGCTAATGTTCCCTCGGAGGTTTTTCCTAGTAACCTCTCACTCAAAGCCACAGCTTCCCTGAGGGAATGCACTGCACCGTCCGTATCACCCAGTTTCAACAATTCCGTGCCTATGTTATGAAGTGTATAGGCTGCTCCGATACTTTCACCCGACATTTTCTCCTGCATGCAAAGTAATCTTTGGTATTCACTGAGGGCATCTGCGTGTTGTCCTTTGCATCCTTTGCCTGCTGATGGGTTGCCTGGATTTGACCCGAGGTCCAGGTCTTCCAACTGTCTCTGTGCAGCTTTTATAGAGGTTTCATATTCAGATCCCTCTATAACGGTTCGTGCAATTTTTTCCTTCATGGCGGTGGCTTCCATCTTCATATCTGCACTCTCCGAGGGTTTCCCGTTGAGGTCCAAGAGATCAGCAACAGCTTCAAGGCTGCGCAAGGTGTCTTCGTGGTCCCGAAGTACAGAGCGACGTATGTCCAGAGCTCGTTGGTGCATCTCAAGGCCCTCCTTAATGTTGCCTATAAGCTTCATTTCCTGGCCCAGGTAGAACATCGTATTAGCTGTGATAGCGCTATCACCCAACACGTGTTCACCTATACGGAGAGCTCTTTGGAATGTACTGAGGGCATCTTTATGTTTTCCCTGTGCTGACAAGGCACAACCCAGCAAACTGATCGTAGCTGCTGTCATCTTGTGGTTTTCTCCCATCATCTCTTCCCACATAGCCACAGATTTCCTGAGGACATCGACTGCACCGTCTGCATTGCCCAGATTTATCATTTCCTGGCCAATTCTGAGGAGGGTATAGGCTGTTTCCGGACATTCGCCAGACACTTTTTCAAATATACGTAGAGCTCTTTGGAATGTACTGAGGGCATCTGCATGTTTTCCCTGTGCTGACAAGGCACAACCCAGCCCANCGGTCTCACAATTGTCTAGAATTATCAATATCTTTTGCCCAAACTGTGCTATTTCCTTGCAAGCTCTTGTGAGAAGTTTCTCTGGGTCAGAGAGATCTGAATCTAAACCCGTATCCAATTTTAAAGCTAATAACAAGGATGAAACGATATCTAACTCGGTGGAAACATTTTTCAGGTCTGCCATAACGGAGCGGATTCCAAATCTTGAGACAAATGTGTGACCAACAACCGTAGCAAGGGCGGTCTTCCCTTGCCCACCAGACCCTTGGATGATGGCTAGCCGACCGCCGTTAAGGAGAAGCTGCGTTATGTCCTCAACCTCATCACAGCGTCCGTCAAAGCATAAAGGGGGTTGGGGGAGAGAACATTTTTCCAGGACAGACGCTGAAAGAGGACATACGTAAACGGAATGGGAGTTAAAACGATGAACACTGAGAAAGTCACAGAGAGGGTTAGCAAACGGGCATTTCATGTTTACGGCTACATGTTGTTATAAAGCAGTTTTAATTTTCATTCATTAACAAACATTCGATGTTCTTAACAGAGGACAGGCAAGCAATGGAAACGTCTATTATGCAAAAAAAAAAAAAAAGCACGAAGACGAATTCTTTCAAGAACTTTAACTGAAAGATAAAACTACTTGAAACTGAATAACTGTCATTTTTTGTTTACCTATGACTTATTTTCTCTATGCACATGCTGTAAATCGCGGTTTCCTATATCACGTTTATAATTTTTTTCTTACAGGTAGAAAGCCATTTTCAACGATCAAAAGCTGTAAAACGTTTACTTCACCAGATGCAAATCCGTTATATTTCTGTCTATCTATAAGTTTTCTTCTACTAACCTGTAAACGTCTCTCTGTCTTCTCCAGTTACAACAGTTCCCGACAGTCCATCTGACAACCAACTATAGTCCTCTTGCAAACATGCTTGGAAGCACTCGAAGAATTGATTGTCCTTGGTTAATAAAAGAGTAAGGAGCTTCTGAGTCTGCTCAAGATGACATCTTTCTTTTAATACATCACGCAGTTCATTTTGGGTCAGAATACCTCTGGTGATGAGCTTGTGAGAAACGTTCTTCACAACTAAGTCGTTACAGATGGCTTCCCAGTTTTTCTGAAGCTTGATCTGGTTCTCTAAAGTTATTGGAAAAGCCATGGTCGAGGCTAAACTGCAAAATGAGTGAGTGCTATGTTAAAGTAAAATCTCCAACTGTTGGTGAGATACAGGAAGCAAAGTAGATGGGATGATTATAAGAAACATACTGTCGTGTTCAGTGTAGATGAATCTTAGAGTGGGTCTTACAATTTGAGATAGGGCACGTGTCACTATTTTAAGTGCAGTTCCCATTCAAGTCATTGTTGATCATGTAACTTTATTTTAAAGATTTACAACCTTACAGTCAAATTGTCGGATATAGCAATAACAAAAACATGAAATATACATTGAAATAGCTGATATAACATAACATGCTGATAAATGTAAATTAATCATAATTGCATAGATAAGATGTGTGCGAAGATCTGAATTCAGAACAAATACATTGTACCCACTTGGGATTCTGACACTTCGAATTCAAAATTTAGGAGACATGATCACTGATACAGACATTATCGAGTTCATAAACAACCAAATAATTTCCCATTGACGGCCATACTTAAAGAAGCCTGGAAACTACAATATGATTTGGTGTAACATTTTTATCCCCATGGGCAGCAGGCACACTGACATAACACCCAATGGCACAAACATATATTGTTGAAAAGCTACTTTACTTACCGCCAGTACTTGAACACGTGCACCCCTCTTGTTTATAAACAAACCCCTGCACCGTTCACAGTCGGTAGCTCCCTCCGCCAGAGATGCCACACTGCACGACTCCTGTGCCTGTTCCTGAAGAAAAAATGGCAGTCGTTTACAACCTATAGCATTTTAGTTGACACCTAAATTATAACCCTAGCAAAGCACAAAAAATGCCAGAAAAAAATAGGTAAAAATCACACATTTTCTCGCAGCACTACGTGTACATTCATCTATAACAGTCCGTGGTCGGTCAATTGGGTGCTTTCTGTCCTCAAATGGCCCCTAGGCTTATCGTATTTATAAGAGACATGTACTCTAGAGGGGCATTAGGTAGTTTTACAACAAAGTTGTATACAAAACGATAGTCTAATGAGTGATGAAAAAGCTTTTGAAGTGAAACCTACTGTATAACAGCCAGATAGTTCTGTCCACAAGAAAAAATATTTTATTTCTCCAGGCACAGAATTTATATATAAATTATATGTCGTACTCGTATTAACCAAATAGGAGACAATCGAATATTGAAATGGTGCACGATGAAATCATTTCTCCTTACTTTACAATTTCAAGACAACCATAGCAAAAAAATATCTCTTTATCTTTCTACATAAACAATTATCAGCTTTACGAGTGGCAATAAATACAGGGATACATGTTTTATTAGCCCTACATCTACTTAACAACACTAATATTCGAAAACAGTTTATCACTAAAAAGAGGTTATGTTAATACTATCAATGGCTACGTGCTGGGACCATTAATAATAATAAAACTATATTTCAGTTAGCCTCCTTTTAAATAAATATACCGTTCTGGGTAAATTAGAATATTTATTAAATCGCGAGAATACTTTTGACTTAAATGATGATTTTATCATCAATGGAAATCCAGCTACTGTATGAGGTACGGTAGCTGTGATTGCGCTTTCCTTTATGTTATGCGTTAGTGTACATTTTGCTGTAAGTGCTTGTAATTTTTTTAAAATCTGTGCGTACAATTTTTGCAGGTCTGGTTACGCCCCTGTTATGTGATAAAAGTCTGAATTTGGCAGTTAGTTCCTTAGCTTATTTAAATAGAATTGTAGTATAAAATTTTCAAAAAGATGTTGCGCAATAGCCCTTTACTCTTTGTGGATAAGTTTGTCTAAAATTATCTTTCAATCTTTACTCTTTCAAGGATAGTATAAAGTTATCTGACATATTTTCGTGAAAACTTAATGACAAGCCAAGTGTCTCCAGTTCATATACGACTCAATTTTACCCAAGCAATTTTTAGTAGATCTTTAAAGCACGGTGTTATAATACAATTTTTCGAAGAGGGGATTTAAATCAATATTTAAAAAATTGTAGCTTCAAAATTTAAAAGAATTGGGTATCTCCCGCTTTTCATAATATACTAAGTTATATACAATGAACTAAGTTGTCAGTAGTGCTCTTTTTTACACCCAACTTTCTTAAAAAAAAAAAAAAAACGTTTGTGGCTTTCTTATACCCCTTACCAGGTTAAATCTCCATGCATAATTTAAAATGTACTAACGTACGTAACACTGCACGTTTAGTAAACACATTACATTAATGATTAATTCAGTGCTACTAGTAGCAAACAATGCCTTTTTTTCTTGATCTGCTCCATGTTTTCGAGTTTGACAAAGCTTACAAATTTGCAAAAAGTTTTGCGTACAGACACAGAACTTGCGTTTCAAGTTATAAAATGATAAATCTTTTAAATTAATATTTCAAATGAAATAACCATCAGAAACAAATCCTCAAAGCATAAACGAATTAAGATAACGAACCATTTTATTACAGCAGTTCCCATTTTTTTCTTTAATACACCGGTCTTTTACCTGTTTTTCCTCAACACGTTTTCTTCCATGGAAGTAATGCCTGGGCATACGCATGCTTCAAGATACCCTGAGAGCAATTTCTTTTATTAATGTTCGCGACCGTGTTTGAACTGAATTCTTTAAATATTGATATTTAACGCCATTTACAAATACCAATATAAACCCCATGAAATAAATGAGATATATTGAAAAATATGAAAACCCACCAAGACGAGTTTGATACCTGGTATTACCTGGCTTGGGAATTGCAGCGGTGCATAATTAACAGGTTTTACTGTTAACGAGCTCTTGGTGAACTACAGTGCATTTGAAATGCATCAGCAATTAGTAAGCTTGGCAACTGATGACAGTTAATCTAAAAGACTATCAGCTTTTGATTTGATCTAAAACAACTGAGGTGACCGAGATCTCGAGCATCGCAACTATTGTCACCGAAGTTAGTAAGTAAGTCACGGAAGACCGTCACAGACAAAGAAAGATTGTCAAGGAGTGCTGCAATTTTGGCGAATCCCACGGCAACACACTGAGGCATAACGTAAATTGCTCAATTTCGTACAACACAACTTTCCTAAACTATTCTGACTGTATGCACCATGCAGCTCAGTTGAGTCTCATAGACCTTTATCCTCATTGTCGTCACAGTACCACGTGACCCAGATCTGTTGCTTCATTTATGCATATTGAGGTGAGGTTTACTAAAACGCTTTTTTTCTACTAATAGATTGTTTTTATAATTTTTAAATGGCGGGGATCGATTACGACATACATCTTGTGTATAGATTGAGTGCTGAATCTTCAGAATTCGAGAAATGGATTTTTATGTGGCTATTGTGCTTTAACAAACACTACATTTAATTAATTCACCCCTTACCTACAGTACACGAGAAGTTCACCGCATAGTTTTCCTCTAGTGCGTCACACCTTCTGTCTCCGTCGTCCTTTAGTCCACATTGTTCAGCAAAATGTCAAACATTGATCTGGCAAAGTCTGAAAACAATTTACGAAAATTAGTCAATGTTTCAGAAAACTGGCACACAATAAAAATGGCGTTTAAGGGCGAATGCTGACAAAAATGCTGCCCTTTGTTCCCAAGAAGTATTTTTCTACAACCATTGGAGCCCAAAAGTAAACATTTGGGTCAGTTAGCATGTTTGCAACCTTGTTCAAATTAAAATACTAAAGATGACGGCCATACATACAGCTAAAGGGCGTCGCACACCTCCCTTCTTATCGACATACCGGGTACGTGTAGTCTAGTTTTTTAGTCATGGTGTCAAATATAGACTGGGAATTTTTTCTGACGCGGCTGCCTTATCACATTAACGTAATTTAACACCCAATATTCTGC